TAAGTGCATAGCAGGAAGAGCAGTGCAACAAGTGCCAACTGGGTCCAGAGTGGTTGTGCAATGGGACAGTGCACTCTCTCTCTCTCCACCTATCTCTAGAAAGTGCAGTTACCCATCCTTGCTTTGTAGTTCCCTTATTTTCCTCAAATGCACTTAGTTCTGATGGATTTGCCTGTCTTAACCTTAACTGAATAGTCAAAGCAGAGATAAAGGTGGCAAAATAATCCAACTGAGATCAGCACAGAAACAGAAATGCCATATTCCATGGCAGTGGAGGGTAACGTTTACCAATTCAGCCTATTCCAAACTGATTTCATCTTATGGTACTACATGCTTCCTTCTTTCCACAAGCTGTATGACCTCTCACTGGCACCTACTCTTCATCATGCAGTCTATGACTTCTTTAATTACATCACCATTTACCCAGTGGCTCTCCAACCCTGATTCTAGGACTAGCCTCACCAAATCACACCAAGGCTTTCTCCTTCTTTAATGTTTAGGCCCTCTGTCTCCCATCACTGCCTTGACTTTCATTACAGCTCACATTAGTCCCATGGCCTATCTAACCATTTGATTTGAATAGAGGCCATGATAACCCTTGATTTATTGGGTTGTTCTTTTCTCTGATCACTGACGTTAATTTTTTTTTTCAATCAGCCACTTCACAATAATGTAGTCTTGCAAAAAGAATATGATCTGATAGACATGGAAATGGAGCAGTTCATAAGAAAGCAAGCAAAGTATCATGACTTACTTCATCCGTTCAAAATCTGTACAGGTTGTATATATTTTGGTTTCTCCAATCAGTACATCACAGTAAGGGCGACAGCCATTTCTCTGTTTATTAAAAAAGGGGATTGGACTAACAGTGATCGACTTAATCGTGAGGGGCTTGAAGTGAGGGCGGTAGGGTTTATCTGCTAGTAGATCACACATGTAGCCCAGGTACCTGAAACAGAAGATTAACACCCTTTTGGAACCTATCCCTGAACCAGGAAAAGCAAGCACTGTCCACTACAAAGTTTGTTCTTGCAAATTATAAAGTTAAAATAAAGATTTACTCTGTTAATTTCTTAAATATTGACTAGAAAAAGAGAATGCAGTCAATAATTGCAGAAAGCTTTATCTATTGACATTGCTATATTACCCCGAAGAACTGATAATGGGATATTTGTTAAATCGAAAGGCTTATGGGAGGTTTACACTAGCTCAATATTTGAACATTGATTCCTATTTTATTGAGCACATTAAATTTATCAGCTGAAACCTGGATAATTTCAGAATTATTTTTATCAGAAGCACTTTAAATTCAGGAAGTAAGGAGGTGCTGTTTAAGTAAGAAAAAAAGAAGAAATCATTATTAAAGGGAAGAAAATAAATGTTATCTAAAAATGTTTTTTTTTTCTTTATTACATCACTATTCAGATTATCTTTTGTGATCTATTTCCTTATTCCTATATAGGAGTTCTTAAAAAAAAAAGTGGATTTTAGAAGACCTTATTCTGCATTTCCTCTGGTTAATCAGGTCCCCACAGCATCACCACCACTGGGAAGTACTAGCGATGCTTGTCTCTCAGTAAAGACCTGCATCATGACAGAAAGGACTGGTCTCAGAGCTTGGAATAGGGATGAGGTCCTAGCTATGCCCATTGGGTATTTTTAGCCTGGGACAGAGTACAACCTGTCTGAGTGTCAGCGTAGTTTCCTCACCTGCAAAATGAAGGAAGTAGACATAAGCAGTCTCAAATTTCCTTCTAATTTTAAAATCACAAGTTCTCATATGGAGGCTTATGAAACTGCATGAGCACGCAATATCCTAATCTGATTCAATTTTTTCCCATAATTCAGGATAATGCCAAACAAGTAAAAAGAAAGTTATAAAAGTAACTACAGGGCAGATTTGAAGTAATATATGATATCAATTAGACCACGTCTGTGTTCACCCTGAGCCTAGCTTACTTTACCTCCTATGGGACGGTGAGAGTCCGATTCCTGGTCGCTTTGCATACAGCAACCGAATAGCTGGGCCAGGAGCAGAGTAGAGATTACAGAAAATGAACATAGCACCAACCAGAATTGATGATGCTGCCCGTCCATCCTGTTAAAGAAAATGCATAAACTGGTCACAAACATGATCAAATCATCCATTCATTAAGAAAGGCTATACTTATAACTAAGAAAGAGGAGAGGGGCCAGATAGTAACACAGCAGCAAAAATGCGACCTACAAGGCAATGTCACATGGGAATGTTCCCAGTTCACGTCCAAAGAAAGCCTCCCTCAGTACACCAGGCACATGCATGCCCATAATCCAGGGCTGGCTGAGAGCTAAGGGTGGATCACTGAGTCGAGATCCTGTTGGAAGTGTTCTTTCTCTCTCTCAGAAGAAATAAATAATGTTAAAAAAGAGAGAGAGAAGAAAAGAAAAGAAATCCTTTTACCTGGGGTGGAGAGTGCCTTTTATTTCAAAATAGTTCACCTGAAAATGAGAACCTGTTTTAGGTATTTAAATAGCAAAATAGGGGACCAGCAGTTAGCGTAATGGCTATGTCGCTGGACTCCCATGTAGTCAACCGCGGTTCGTGTCCCAGACCCAGTGGCTTAAAACTCACGCCGGGCGCGTGTGTGTGCGTGCCCAAGATCCCAAGAGGAGAATGGAGGAGAAGGGATTGTGGCATGGCCATCCCCCCTGGGGGGTGATTTCTCGCTTTCTGTCTCTCAGTCTCTCTCTGGCAAGAGCACACGCCCTATAGCAAAATAAATAAATAAATAAATAGCAAAATAGGTCCAGTGGTGCTGCAGTGCCATGCTAGAGACCATGTGGAGACCAACGCTTTGTTTGCATCTGGGGTTCATCTCAGCACACCAGGGGTACCCATCATCCTGTCTGGCTTGAAGGTTGGGAAGAGGATTGCAGAGTGAAGACCCTGTTGAGGCTCGCTCTCTCTCTCTCTCTCTCTCTCTCTCTTTCTCTATAAGGAAATAAATAAACTTTTAAATCACAAAGTGGAAAGAAAGACTTATTCTTAGGAAAAGCAGTAAAATTAAAAATAATGTAATCTGCAAAGTAACCCTAGACTTATAGAATCAGAATAGCTAAAGTCTTAGTTTAAGACTGACGATAATAAGCTTACAGATTAGGTAAGTGCTGCTTGCTGGAATGTGCTATATATGTATTCCAGGCGAAGTGTGCTCCTAGATCTATATAAAATAAACTTTACCTGATTCGACCTCATTCAGTGTAAGATAAATCTATTATGGACTGAATGCTCATGTCTTCCCAAAATTGCTATGTTGAAATCCTAACACCCAACCTGACAGTATTAGGAAGTGGGTCTTTGGGGAGGTGATTATGTCATGCAGGTAGAGTCCTCATGAATGGGATTAGTGCTCTTATAAGAAGAGACACAGGCATTTGATCTCTCTTTCCATCTCTGTTCTCAGTCATATGAAAATACAGAAGACAGCCATCTGCCAGGAAGGAAGCAGACATTCATCAGACTCTGGATCTGCAGGTACCTTGTTCTTGTACTTCCCAGCCTACGGACTGTGAGAAATAAATACCTCTTGTTTCAAGCCACCTAGTCTATAGCATATTTGCTCTAGAAGCTAAAGCTGATTAAGACAACATCCAATGACATTCCTGACAGATGATCACCCAGCTTCTTCTAGAATACTTTAAGTGACTGCTATTTGAATGAGCCCATTGAGTTGAAGTCTATTCCTCCATAGCTTCCAGTCAATGATCCTCATGTTTCCTTCCATGCAACAAAAAAATACATTTACTCTTTTCTCCCTGTGACAGCCTGTCACATATGTGAAATACCCTCCCTTTCTACCAACACTTCTATTTCCTATTTAAAGCAAACCTAATCCCTTCTATTCTTCCTCATTTGCTATCTATTATAAGAAACCTCATCACGTAGTGCACTTTCTCTAAACAGACTCAAGTTTGAAAACAACTACCTTAAATGTGTTGCTTAGATGTAAAATGCAAAATATGAGATGCGTTCTGACCAAACCAGAGAGAAAATACCATTTTCCTTAGTCTGGACACTATGATTTTATTAACAAAATGGCAGGCTAAAATCATATAAATGCAGGCTAAGTTACACCATAAGCTCTTATTGATTTTTCTTCCCACTAGAACCCCTAGTTATTTTTCAGATGCTCTGTTAAGCTAATAGATAAACGTGTTTCATTTTTTAGAACCAGAACTCAGGACTTTACATTTACCCTGTATGGAATTTCACAGTATTACTTTCTGTTAAACCACCAAGAAATATTTAAATTTAGATACATTATGTGCCTCTCTTAATTCCGAGAAAACTGACACGATTGATTTCTACATCTTCATGAAAGTTACTGATTGAAAAGGAAACCAAATGAAACCTGGACGATCTTAATGCATTACCCACCTACCTTTGGAAGCAGATATTCAGTCACAACCCAACTAAATGTACCACAACTTAGCTCACATTTGTCCTTCTTGACTACATGCTCAGCATGAGTTTAAGCCACTGGGTCCGGGACTTGAACCACAGTCGACTACATGGGAGTCCAGCGACATAGACATTACGCCAACTGCTGCTCCCCTGAACACATTTTTTAAGACATCTTTTTCTCAAACTTAGTTCTATTTAAAATTTAGCTTTCCTCATAATCTTTTGTTTGTTTTGTGGTTTTTTGCTATCGGGCAAGTGCACTCACCAGACAGAGAGAGAGAGATGACAAGAGAGAAAGTGAGAAATCACTCCCCCACAGGGGGATGGCGATGCTACAATTCCTTGTCCTCCATTCCACGCTGAAGATTCTGGGCATGCAAACACATGTGCACAGCATGATTTTCAAGCCACTGGGTCTGGGATTCAAACCATACAATTGGCTATGTGGGATTCAGTGCCTTAATCTCCATGCCACCTGCTAGCCCCATCATGCTCTTTTAACAGAAACATGGCTCTTGGATCTGTCTCTTCCTTTTCTCTGTCATACATTCTTTTAAAAATTAGAATACTAGTATATAATTTAATACATACAGGATAAAAATAAAGGCTCCCATGCCCAGCTTCAATTCCATTTCCCAAAGACTGGGCATAGACTTCCAAGTATGCATGTCCTTTTTAATTGATTCTACAGAGAATTCCAAAGAATACTTCTTTGTCTGCCTCTTCTTTCTCCTTCATTGGAGCTTTATTCTTTCTGATTCTCATCAAAATGGGGACCCTCTGGTCTCTACTGAGCCATCTTCTCTTACACAGTTGTCAGACATAGGCTTCTTAAACTTCCAGAAATTCTTTTTTGTGTATAGTGTTTGGTATAGGGAGTGTGCACTTGTCAGAAAGAGACAGAAAGAGCGGCCAGCAGGTGGTGTGATGGTTAAGGGTGCTGGACTCCCACATGGCCGATCATGATTCGAGTCCTGGACCTGGTGGCTTGTTTTCTTGCTTTCTCTATCTCTCTCGCTCTCGCTCTGTCCCTCTCTGGTCAAATTAAAACAAACAAATAAATAAAGTTTTCGGAAAAATATGTTTAAAAAGAGAGAGAGAGAAAGAAATCACCATCAAGAGGGAATGGCCATGCCACAATCCCTTCTCCTCCTCCACTCTTCTCTCAGAATTCTGATGACACACACACACAAATGCACTTGGCATAATTCTCAATCCTCTCAGTCCTGGACTTCAACTGCAAAAGTGGCTATATGGGATCAAGCACTTTACTCTCTATGACACCTGCTGGCCCTAGAAAATTCTGAAGAGATGAGGAAAATCAACAAGATGCTTAAGGTTGTTTGGTCCCTAAAGTATCTGCTCTGTTGCACAATCTGTTATGCTTTAGAAAAGCAAATCCTGTGGTCTTTAAAATTAAAATGCTGCTAACACCAAGTGTTTTTCCTTCATTGCCAAGAGTTTGGAGATGTGAAATGGAAAGAAGAAAAGAAATTTTCTTCAACTCTCTTTCCTGTTTTAGCTGACTATCTCTCAAGCAGGGGCAGGAGGCAGGGATTTGCCAAGTAGTATAACAGTATAAAAATATACCCTCAAGTTTATAGAAGCAATGAACCTTTCCAGTATTGATCCTGAGATTCCATTTGTGTACTCATTTGTTCATGTGTTCAGTTATTTACTCACTTTCTTGCCTAGGACACAGAGGTAAAAAGGCACAATTTGAAGGGCCTGCAGGTGCCCTGGTGGTTATGGCACTGGATTTCCACATGACTGACCACAGTTCAAGTCCTGAACCTGGTTTCTTGAGAATCATGCTGGATGCATGTGCATGAATGACCAGAATCCTGAGAGGAGAATGGAGGAGAAGGGACTGAGCATGGCCATCCCCCTAGGGAGTGATTTCTTAATTTCCTTTTCTTTATCTCTCTCTCTCTCTCTCTCTCTGTCTCTCTTCAGTGAGTTCATACACCCTACAGGGAAAAAAAGGCACAGTCTGCCAGAAGTCATGCATCCTTTTCCTGTAAGTTGATAATAATTTGGTGGTTAGAAGGCAGGAGAATAGCTTATTGTTATGTAGCGTACTAAATGCTACAGAAGACATTTAAATATACAGAGGGAACGTCAGTATTATGAAAATACTCAAAGGAGTCAGAAAACTTTCAGTGTAAATTGGGCATTAAAGGATAATGAAGAAGCCTTAGAGGAAGGGCTGGGGAAAGAGACTATAGGAAACCAGTGGTAATAAGGGTCATCAGTCCCACTGGGAATTGTTCTACAATACAGTACAATCCACACGACTATTGACAAAGGCATCGGTGTTCTGTTTTTATTCGGACAGGGAGAAAACATACATATGCTAATATTTTTTATCACTTCATTCACACGAAAACACAATGACATTACTATCTGTGCACCCACATCTCTCGTGTCTAACTCTTCGAGATACTTAGCACATGCTAAAGGTCCTGCATGATGTGGGTCATATATACATCTATCTCTCCCACTAGTACTCAAGCTTTAAGCCATGAATAGTAAATCTCTCCCTCCTATTACCTACTTCCTAAGTCAGAGCTCAATAAATGCTACTGAAATGTCACCTATCCACCATTCAGTATAAGGTCATCCATATTGACCAAACCAAGCCACCACCACCACCAGTTACTCACCAAGCAGTGGACAACACAGACGTTTTTGGGATTCTGTAGTAGCCAGTTATACATGTTCCGGCACACAGCAAAGAGGTTGTGCAGACTGGGAGCTTGCCTGATAGGCCAACTGCATTCTGAGACCTGAGGGAACACAACAAAATGAAATTAACTCCTCCAGTGACTTCCTCTCCGTAAGCAAGTATCATACTAAACAACTCTTTTGAAAAGTAATACCACATTGTCTTTTAATATATCCAGGAAGAGTTGGGAACAGGTCCAAATGCAGAAAGAAGAGGTGTTTAACACTCTGTTTTTTGTTTGTTTGTTTGTTTGTTTATTTTTTTTAAGTTGCCAGAGGATACAGGCATTCACTAGAGAGAGAGAGAGGGAGAGAGAGAGAGAGAGGGAGGGAGGGAGAAACCATCTTCTAATGGGGCATGGTCACACAGCAATCCCTTCTTTCTATTTTTTCATTGTAAAAGGATTTGGGGCAGGCACGTGTGTGCCCAGGGTCCTTTTTCAATTCACTAGGGCTGGGACTCAAACCACAGTGGGCCATGTGGGATTCCGTTTCCTTTAACCTCCGGGCTATGAGGGCAGCCCAGCACAGTTGCTTTTTTCAACTAAACAATTCTACTTCAGTAAAGGTATAAAAACACATTTTGAAATACATTTTAAATTAAACTAGATAATTAATGCTCCAGATGTGGATTTTCTTCTATTTCTATGAGGTTACATAGAACTGAATTTCTATTAAGTATAAAATATTCTGAACTGCCTGCTAGGTGCTTAATTATAGGATTGTTTTATAAATCCTGCACTATCCCTAATTTAATCCCAGCTCTCAGAATAACAGGGGAAGTGCTATACAGGAAGCCAAAAGGTTGGCTTATATGGGATCTTATTTTTTTTCTTTTTTAATAAAGGCAACCTCTGGCATTGTCATTCACTTAACATGCATATTCATTTAACACATTATAGAATATCAGCCATGTTCTAGGGATGCTTTTGGCTTTGATCTATACAACAACCATATAAGTACTCACCCAATCCTCATTTTGCAGATAAGACTATTGGAGATGGTCAAATTACACCCTGACCAAGTACCCAGGTCTCCTGAATATAACATTGAGCTACAACAGCATACTGGGTATCCTTTGCCTCAAAACAGTAGACTTGAGTCTCAAGTGATATTAGATGTTTACTAACTTAGCTAATAAATGATAAAGAGAAGCTTAAATTTACACTAACTTCATGATTTCCTTAAGCTATTTATTTATTTATTTATTTTTATAAAGTGTAGTAAACGGTATATGTTGACATACCACACAGAGTTGTGGATATTGCTTGAGAATATAATTCTAGGACTTAGCTCAGTGTCTGAAACACACAAAGTGATCAATATAAATTAGCAATTATTATTATTATTTGATTAAGTAACCATCGATGGAAAACCCTGAAGTCAGAAAGAGCCAGTTATGTTTGAAAAAAGTAAATGAAGCCCTGTGTAGGAGAGCATAAACTGAAGAAGGGCCAGATTATACAAGCCTTACTAAGGAACTGGAAGAGTATTTTAAAAAATGATTTTCGAATCTACATTTTCCAAAGATTTCTCTAGCTTCAGAATGGAGAATGGAGCTAGATGACAAGAGGCTGAAGACAGAAAGACCAGTGAGGAGGTTGGAGAAGAGTTTCAGTAATGGCAGTGGCTTAGACTAGCTGGATGACAGTGGGGTGCAGACATAGCTCAGGGATTCAGGAGCTAGAGCTACTGTACACAAGACTCGGTGACTGATCACGGTGGCAGTGAGTGCATGGAAAGGGGTGCACTTAAATACAGAGGGGAGAGGGGATTCATCAAGGATGACTCCCAGATTTCCCGCTCGAATGGCTGGACAGAAGGATGCAAGCAAGTGCCACTTACTAAGACAGGGAATCCTGAGGGTAGAATGGGTTTAATACCGATGGCATCATCAGAATGTGCTCTCCAATACTCATACCACTGGGCTAAGAAAATCCAAATGTGGGACCAGCAGTTAGCGTAATGGCTATGTTGCTGGACTCCCATGTAATCGACCGTGGTTTGAGTCGCGGACCCGGTGACTTAAACTCACGCCAGGCATGTGTGCATGCATGCCCAAGATCCCAAGAGGAGAATAGAGAAGAAGGGACTGCGGCATGGTCATTCCCCCTGGAGGGTGATTTCTCTCTTTCTGTCTCCCTGTCTCTCTCTCTCTTTCTGGTGAGCACACATGCCCTACAGGAAAAACCTCTCAAGAAAAAAAAAAATGAAAGTCCAAATGTGTCAAGAAATAATAATAAGAAAGTGAAGCAGCAAGAATCTGTTTGAGTTGCCCTTTTCTGGTAACCATATAACAGCTCATTTATAATCTGTGGTTTCTATAGAGCTGACCTTTAGAAGCAAAGATGGAATTTTTCTGGGGCTACCAAAAAAGGTTTTTTTGATTAATTTTCACCTTTTTTTCTTTTCATTATTTATTTAATTTGTTATTATAATTATTTTTATATTTTTTTAGAGAGACTTAGCTATAGGTTACATACACGTGCCAAAGAGACAGAAATACAGAAGGCAAGAAAACACTTCCATAGGAGATACAGCCATGCCACAATCCCTTCTCTTCCATTCTCTTCTCAGGATCTTAGGTACACACATACACACATGCCCAGAGTGAGTTTTGACCCTCTGGGTCTGGGACTGAAATCACAATTGGCCATGTGGGAGTCCACCTACGTAACCATTACATCATCTGCTGGTCTTTTATTATTATTCTTTAAAGTTTGCTATAGGGCATTAGGGCATGTGTGCTCACCAGAGAGAGAGAGAGAGAAAGTGAGAAAGCAAGCCACTAGGTCCAGGACTTGACCCACAACCATGTGGAAGTCCAGCATCTCAACCACCATATCACCTGCTGGCCCCTGTAACTTTTTTCTACAGAATGATCATGGGGGTAATGGCAGGGAATCTCCGAGGTTATTCATTTTTAGATCTGTTTGGGAATGCTAGTCATGGTTTATTAAATAAAGTATTTGAAATGCTTGATATAGTTATCAAACAATCCAGGATGAGCCAGATTGGCATCTACCATTTTAAACTCAATAGTTTGCTCTTTTTACCCAACAGAATAAAGGCTGTTTCTGGCCCATCTTTATCCTTGAATATCTACCCCATTGATGTGTTCTCAAGGAATGGAAACAACTTATTGACTAAAATAAAATAATAATTGAGAAGATAAATTTTGCTGCCAGAGGAACTGTAAAATGTACATTTGTACAAGATGCTGTTATCTGCGGTGTTTTTCTTCCTTTGTAAATTTCTTTTCATCCTTCAAAATCTTAGTTCAAGTTCTGTCTTGTCTCTGATGATTCTTTTAACATGTAACAACAGAAAGACTAGTCATTACCAACTTCTCCAAGCCTTAATTCCTTGTGTATAAAGTATAAACAGGCACTGTAAGTCTGTGATGAGAATTAAGTGGCACAACGTAAACACAGTAAGTGCTAGCTTATTGTCAAGCTGCACTGAATTGACAGTCTACATTTGTCTCCCCTTCTGGGCACTGAGCTCCATGAGAAGGGACCATAACGTACTCATTTTCATAACTACAGTGTCTAGGGTGCAGACGTTGCTGGATTCTCACATGGTCTACCAAGTTCATGTCCCAGACCTGGCAGCTTGAAACTCATGCCAGGCGTGTGTGTGTGTGTGTGTGTGTGTCTGTGTGTGTGTATGTGCATGTGTTCAAAATCCCAAGAAGAGAATAGAGGAGAAGGGATTGCAGCATGGCCATAATGGCCATACACCCTGCGGGGTGAGTACTCATTTCTTTCTCTCTGTCTCTGTCTCCCAGTGAGTGCATGCATCCTATGACAAAAAAAAAAAAAAAGACACCTCTCTTTAAAAAGAATAAAGGAAGGAACCCCATTGGACATTTTCTTTTTGTATTAAGACTTGCCTCCATGCACAATAGCTGGAGGAATGAACAAATGAATCAATTTTGGGTTTTTTTGCTGCTGTTGTTTAGATTGCAGCAGAGTGAAAGTACAAGAAATTTGTTTCCCCAGGCAATATTTTTAAAGGCTTTAAAAAGTGTATGTTATCTATACATACACACACACACTCTCTAAATGCCAAAATTTGTAATGAGACTCAACTAAAAGTTAGCTAAATTATTCTAAACACAATAGGCAAATAGCTCCAGAATAATGAACTCAATCAAGTAAATAATATTAATTTAAAGTATTCCATAATTATATGTTTACTTGGTATATAATTATACACTATTAAGCAAACCTACAATTAGAATTTAAAAAAAAAAAACATGTGCTCTGTCTAAAGGGGGAAAAACATTAAGGCATAAACAAAAACAAAACAATTCAAAAGGAATTCAATCACTGCAAGCTATTTTTATAGCTCTCTTAGGGTCACAGCTTCACATAATAAACATGATCCTTGGGTATGTGTCACTTCATGATACCATTTCCAATCTCCCTAAGAACTTTCTAGAGTCACTGAACATCACAGAATACCGTGTGGATTACAAGGCTGCCCTGATACACCCAGAGGGACAAGAGACCAAAACATCGTCAGGGCTGATGTCATTCAATTTGCATCTCTCCATTGCCCAGCACGGACAGGGCGGCAGGAGCAATGCACTGCTGAGGATAAGAAAAAAAGGTGCTATGGAGTCCCAGATGGAGGTCTCATACCTAGTGTTTCAAGAATCTCAGACCATTTTTAAAAGCCTGAGAGATTTCAATCATTTATTGTAGCGTTTCATCACTGCCAACATGAATTATTGCTATCACTTACTGAATGCTGACTGTGAGCCAGACAGTGCTATCAGATCTACCCTCTGCAACAAACTTCTAGCAAACTTTTCTAAAAGTACTTGTACGCTAGGGACACTCATTGTTCACCCCACTTGACAAAGAGAAAATTTGAGCCCAAGGAAAAGTAAAGTGATTTGCCCAGGAAAAGGAATAGCTGAGTGTGAACCTAGGGTAATTTTTAAAGTTTAAAATTTGTGTTTATTATATAATTTCATCTATATTTAGAAATTACAAAAATCAGTGTACACTCCATTATATTATGCTGTCCAATGATTGATTATTGACCAACA